CACTCACCTCGGCCTCCCAAAGCGCAGGATTACAGGCTGAGCCACCGAGCCCGGCAGCATATTTTTAATATTATACACCAATTGGATTTGAAGTGCCATACACTTTACTTTAGAATGTCAATATGCTATTAGGTAGAACACACTTATGCAAACATTAAGAAAAATCATATGAAATAATTTATAGCATCTCTCCCCTTCTCCTTAGAATCTTATATAGGAATCGACTTATCTAGTCCATAATCCTGGGAATCTATTCTTTGCTTATTGAAGAAATTCCTCAGTGATGCTGCCTTTTCCCGTAAAAGAAGAGTTCCTTTCCCCTCAGAAGAGACCCCTTTCAGGGCCCGCAAAAAAACCACACCAAATTTTGAATACATTTTCCATTTTATTGACTCCATAAAGTCTACAAATCCCTGGGAGTTTACCAACCTTTGCTGTAAAGTGAAGGAAGATAAAATATTTGGAGTAAAGTATATTAGGACCTCTAATACAATAAAAGTTGTCACTTTAAAAGCAATTTATTCCACAACCATTTATTAATGTTCATAGGCCAAAACTGTGCTACAGAGATGCAAAAAATGAATGAAGTTCCTTTTCCTGCCCTTAAGGAGCTCACATTCTAGTAAAGGAAACTGCAAAAAATACAAATAATATGTACAGTAAGTGATGTGCAGTAGAGGTAGGCTGTAATTACAGTGACACAAAAGAGCCAGTTAGATGACCCTCTGAATGAAACAAGGAAGATTTCACAGAGGAGATGCTTGTGTTGAGCCTGCAGGGATGCAGAGGAATTTTCCAGGTGGGAAAGGATGGCTAGGGCACTGGATGCAGAGTACAGCATTTACCAAGGTGTGGCAGCCTGGTCCTACAGGGCTTTTAAGAACTGTAAGTATGTTTCATTGGAATATTGGGTGAGAGTAACACATCACAAGATCTTGTGCACCAAGCAAAGGAGTTTGGCTTTCATGAAGGTTCATGAAGCAACTGAAGGGGGTTAAGCAGGGTGTGACATTATCAGAGTGCTTCTAGAATGCCTACTCTGGTTACATTGTAGAGCAACAGAGGACATAGGCGGGGGTATGGGGAGACGAGTTAGTGTAGTCCTTCAGATGACAGCGGTGAAAATGGAAAAGACAGTGATGCATCAGAGAGGTGATGTAGACACTGGTTGACAAGGAGAAGCTGGATGAGAGAAATGGGTCTCGAAAACTTGGAAGATGATGGTTCTGAAATTAACCATAGGTTTGGGGGAGAATCTGACTGTTTTAAGATACACACACAGGTGTCTGGGGGGAAACCACGTCAAGTGCAATAAGCAGTTGGACTGAAGTTAGGGCTAAAGATAAGGATTTAGGAATCATCGAGTAGATATTACCAGAGTGAGAAATTATATCATAATTAAGAGAGCAAGAATGACAGCCTGAGGAATAACATTTAAGGAGTAGATGACGAGGCCAAAAAGGAGAGTCTTGGGAGTGAGCAAAATGTAAGGAAACAAGGGAGAAGACAAAGATTCTTAAATGGGGTCATCAGAAGTGTCAAATGCAGAAAAAAGCCAAATAAGAAATGGCTTGTGAACTGAACTACTGAACTACAAATTTAGAATTAAGATTTTAGACTTCACAGGAAGAGACTGTTAAGAACCACAGGGCTAAATGCCAGATTTTAGTTAAGGAACAAGTGGAAAGAAAGTAAAGGTAGAAACACTCCTTCCAAAAAATTGGCTGTTAAAAAAAAGGAAAGAGAGATATGATGAGAATTAGAGAGGAGTACACAAAAAAACGGCTATTGAAACCCCTCTACCATATTTTCAGAGTACTACAAACATCCTTGAACTATACACACGATTTTCACTTCATAGTCCTTGAGTCTCCAAGAAGATTGACAGTAAGTTAATGTCTTTCTTTTCCCACCCTATTCATGAAAATGAGGGGAAAGGAAAATAGAACACATATTATTAAACTTAGTTCTGTGATTATTCACTTAAAATATACTGAATATATATTCATACATTCATTCAACAAATATTTATTGGATAACAACTATGCACTTGGCACTGTACCAGGCCTTAAGGACACAAAGAAAAAGTATACAGCAGTGTAAAGTGACAGTTCTAAACCATTTTATAAATAAACCCTGCTTTACTAATAATGTGACATTTCAACAAGTTATACCTGCTAAGACATATAAAGAGGGCACATGATTTTGAGGTCTGCTTGTTCTTTTTCCCTATAATTACTATGTGATGTAAGTTCCTAAGTCCCTTTAGTTTTATCATTAAGGAGCTTCCACTGATAAAAAATCCTCCAAATACCGTTCACTTGGGAAGGCAAAGGAAATGAACTTCCTGTATTAAAAAAGTCTAAGATCAAGCCAGGTGTAGTGGTATGCACCTGTAGTCTCAGCTACACAGAAGGCTCAGACAGGAGGGATGCTTAAGTCCAGGAGTTCAAGTCAAGCTTGGGCAACATAGCAAAGCCTCATCTCTAAACAAATTTTGTAAATAAAAATACGAAATCACATGTTCTGTCACTATACAAATCAAGCATTAAAAAGGCAGCAAAATTCAAAAGGAATGTTAGATTGGAACTTAAAATGATTCCTTTATGATTCTAGATTTGTGGGAGGTCTTATTTTTCTGGAAAAAAAAATCATTTAAAAAAATTATTCAGCATTACATGCTGAAATAGTTAGGGTTAAAAGGGCATAATGCCTGGAACTGACTTCCAAATGATTGAGGAAAAAAACTTTGTGTGTGTATACAGAAAGAGCATGAAACATAAAACACATGAACTAGTAAGAGACTTCTTTGAACTATTTTTGAAACTTTTCTGTTACTTTGAAATTATATAAAAATAAAGTTCCCCCCAATTTTTTTTTCAGTATTAGGGAACATATTATGAGAAAAAATATATAATCTGTTCAACTTTTCAATGTTTTCAATGTTTAGAAATCTTGTGCCTTTGAATTGTTATTATACCTTTTTACACATAAAAACAACTCAATCAAAAGAAATATAATTCTAAAATTGACTTGTTTCATACTAATGTATTTTAGAGCTGCCAGGTAAAACATAAGACTCCCAGTTAAATTTGAATTTCAAATAATTAATTTTTTTTTTTTTAGGGTAAGTATGTCCCAAATATTGCATGCAACATACCTAGATTAAAAAACTAGTTGTTCATCTGAAATTTGAATCTAACTGGGCATTCTTTATTTTTGCTAAATCTAGCAACTCTAAATGTACTGAAAAATTCTATGCTGTTAATTATGGGTCATGAGGCTTCTTAGCATTTTCATATTAAACACTTGACACATTTGCCATAGTTGTACTTATATTACATCGTTTAACACAAAACTCTAGTTTGGTAGACTTAAAAATTCACTTATTTTTATCATATGTGAATGTGACAGTCCTTTTATTCAATATTAAACTTTAAAATATGTACCACATTATCAAAGTACTTCTCACAACAGTATTACACATAGACTTAGCACAATTTTAAAAAATTTGTTTACATAAAACAATATAATTCTCCTTTTACAAAAGCAACTTTATATAAAATGTTTGGCTTAAGACCATCATTGCTTTTATGCCTTTGAATGAAATTCCGCTCTTTGGCCTTCACTGTCCAGAAACAGGCACATTTCACCTTGTTTTCTTTAGTGAATATTCTGTAGCAAGTTCCTGAAGTTTTCTAATTCTGTCACACTTGTAGAAATTCTGTAACCAAAAAATATTTCACTCAGAAACAATCTTAGATAAATTTTCTCTGTAAAAGCTATCCACTTTGCATTCACAAAACATAGAAAAAGTGTTAAGCAACTTATTTCAACAAATGCAAAAGTGCATAAACATAGTTCTTAATTTGACATAGGAGAAATAAAATATTGTCCAGAAATTACTTTTAAAGTATTAACTTGCATGAGTATAAAGTACATAGGCATTAAAATACTTACATATTTTAAGTATTCATATTTATTTACTTAGTATTAAAGTATTAAAATTTATGCATATTTGGTACAAAATGCATAAGTATGTAAGTTAAAATGTTTACGAATCTTTAATATTCCTAAGTATATTGATATGCTTAGTATTAAAGTACATAATATAACGTATAGAAATATAGAAGTATTGAAATATACATTTTAAATAGCATAAGTATAAGAATACTTAGACCACACCATATTTAGTGAGTGTACAAAGAATCAAAGCTATTGGCCTATAAAGAGTAAGAATAATAAAAGTGTGACCACATTGTTTTCACTAATTTTTATAAAAAGTAAATTTGTTCCTTATTTTAAGTGCACTTTAGCTTTGTTCTGTACCATGAAAAACAGTAGCAGAATACTCAATGAACTATAACTGTCACACTCCTGGGTGCTAGAAAAACAATTTTGAATGTCAATCATCTTAAGCTCCAAAATATTAAATCATAATTTTTTTTAAGTGAAGAAATGTCCTTTAAAAAATGCTAATTTTTATAAATCTTGGCATCATTTACATGATAGGCCAGAAGGAAATGCATCTAGACTTAAATATTTATGTAAGTTCCTTATGTCATGCTTTTCATCCAATCATTTTGATGGAAAATAATTATTTTTACATGAATGATTTGGCTAAGCACGGTGGCTCACTCCTGTAATTCCAGCACTTTGGGAGACCAAGGCAGAAGAATCACTTGCGTCCAGGAATTCGAGACCAGTCTAGGCAACATAACAAGATTTTGCCTCTACATACACACACACACACACAAAAAATTAGTTGGGTGTGGTGATGTGTGTCTGGAGTTCCAGCTACTCTGGGAAGCTGAGGTAGAAGGATCACCTGAGCCCAAGAGGTCAAGGTCAAGGCTGTGGTAAGCCATGATCATGAGACCGCACTCTAGCCTGGGTGACAAAGCAAGACCCAACTCAAAAGGAAAAAAAAAGAGATAAAAGAATTATTAATCATTTTATAGAGTGGTGAAGTCACAGGTAAATTTACATGTATGCTTCTATTAAACAATATATGGTTTTTCTAGGAACTTCACAAAAATTGGACAGCACAAAAAACTACTTTTAAGCAACTTTTTAAAATGTACAAATTCAGTAAGATGAATATTGAAGTGTAATCAGTAAGTTTATTATTATAAAAGTCAATAGATAAAAATAAAGAATCTCATGTAATGATTGTGTGTTGTCTATATACGTGAAGTATTTCTCAAGATCATATAATTCTGCAATGAAATAATTTCAGTAAAAAGGATATGCCTTACCCAGTTTTATATGAGAGTATATGTGTTGCATTAGGCTTACTTGGCTAGCAGAAACAATTTCAGTATATTCAACTAACCTTCCAAATGCATTAAATAATGATACTATTTCTTGTCTGGTTAGATGGAATTCATAACTGGGTCCACTTTCTGGCATATTTGCTATCAGTTTCTCAGAAAACAGGATCTTCAGAGCGGTACCCAAACCCTGAGTCTATAATCAAAATAAGAAACAAAGAAAAATAAGAAAATTCTTCATGCAAAGGATCAGTGAGACACAAACCTAGCTAGATTTGCTTACCTGAAGCTTTCCCCACAGTCGACATTTAAGACAACCAACACAATCCATGATTCTTGAAATATTTCTAAAATGCAGTCGAAAGTCCTCCTAAAAATAATTTCACAAAATTTTATTAAGATGTAATATATAATCAACTAATAAATATTTTCTGAGTGCCTTCTATGTGTCTAACACTGTGCAAGGTACTGTGGGGTATGAAAAAGGGAAAGAGAACTAACATTCACTGAGCACCTCCCACACACCAGAATCTTTACATATATAATCTAATCTTTACAACAAATCCAAAAATAGATATTCTTGTAAGCCACACCTACTACGTTTTTTAAAAAAGGATTCAGAGAGGTTAGATAACTTGCCTAAATTCCCACATCTAGTAAACAGCAAACTTAGAACCCAGGGCTGCCCAATTCCAAAGCCAAACTACAAAATATACAAAAATATAGGGTAACTTAGCTGAGGTACCCTGTTGTATGTGATTGCTAATTATATGTCAACATGGGGGGTCAGGGGTTTGAGGGCATCATTTATTAGAAGAAAGAAGGGTAGGGGAGAAGGAAGGAAGAGAAAAAAATCCTTTGGGTTTTTCTTGAGACAGAGTCTACCTCTGTCGCCCAGGCTAGAGTGCAATGGTGTGAAGATAGCTCACTGCAGCCTCAGCCTCCTGAGTAGCTGGGACTACAGGCTTAAGCCACAACACCTGACTAATATTTTTTTGTTTGTTTCATAATCGTTAAATTACACCCCTTCTTTCTGGTATTAAATAGGTAAAACAATCAGATCTTCTGTTATTATTATTAACATTAACATGCAAAAATATACAAAATATAGTTAACATCCATGTAACTACCCACTGCCAATTTTAGAAATAAACCATCACAAGTACAACTGAGGCCCATACATATCTCTCCAAAGTCCTATACCCTGCCCTCTGTTACATGCTGAATGTGGTGTTGATGATTTTGTTTTTGTTTTTATGCTTTTAACATATGAACACTAGAGTATAATAGCATTTGCATTAATAAGGCAACATGCGTCCAGCTCATCCAAAAGTAGCATGTGTCCTAAGGAAAATGGAAATGAGAAGCCAAGAACGCATCCTTCCTCTACTCCAACGGACATTATTAACTGATCCTGCAAGTGACTCCCTCTGCCCTAAACACAGAGTAGAATCACAAGGCTATCATATTTCAAGCAAAAAATCTGACATACCTTCTGGATAGAACATCCATTATACCACTGGCCTATAATTTAGGGAGAAGATAGCATTTTTTTTTTTCTTTTAATGTGAAAAACCACACACCGGGCTCAACTAGAGGAGAACAGGACTACAGATCTCGAACAGGGATAAAATCAGCAAAGGTTGAAACCCATTATTTAAAGCAGACCTCCATTTGCTCTTAAGACACTTTTCCCAGATGCTTTTTTCAGCTTGAGACTTTCAAACAGCTGTTAACACATAAAAGACTTTCAACAGGATCCCAGATTTTGTATCTTTATTCATTTAATACAAAGCCCAAATGATTAATATTGATGTTACCATATGTTAACAATATTCTTTACCTTGTATTTCTGTACCTGTTCAAAAAGAGGTACTAATTTTAAACCTGCTTTAAAACAAACTACCCAATATTACTGTAGACAAAATTTGTGATTTGACTTGAGTTTCCTTTAAATTAGTGTTTTGACCTTGTCTTACAGAAAAATCACATTTTTAACTATAATAACAAAGTAACAAAATTTCTCTAAAGTACATGTTTCCATTTTATGAGCTGTTGACCTCTGTAGGACTTAATAGTTGTTATTAGGGTCTACAAAATCCACATGGAGACTAGATGAATATAGACAGAATAAATAGTTCACACATTTGCACTATAAATTTCCAAATGGATATAAATGTTATCAATAAAACACAATCTGTATTTAACAAGTGCTGGTGACTGCATAGTTGCTTTTTGGCAATCACATTTCACAATTAATAGATACTAAAAATACACTGTCATGGGAAGAGGTCTTGAAAGTTTTTGACTTTAAGAGCCGGGCTCGGTGGCTCAGCCTGTAATCCCGTGGTTTTGGGAGGCTGAGGTGAGCGGATTGCCTGAGCCCGCGGGTTCGAGACCCGCCTGGGCAGGTGAGACCTCATCTCTACAATAAATTAAAAAAAAAAATCAGCCGGGCATGGGGGCACATGCCTGTAATTCCGGCCACTCGGAAGGCTGAGACGGAAGGATCGCCGGAGCCCAGCAGGTCGAGGCTGCGGTGGCTGGGAGTGGCCACTGCACTCCAGTCTGGGCAACGGAGTGAGACTCCAACTCAAAAAAAAGAGAGAGAGACTCATACTTGCAGAGGCTGGAAGTTTCCGTGAAAAGATGATGCTTGCTTTTGTAGCCATAGTCTAAATTCAGTGTTTGAATCTATGTTAATCCAAATACTTGTATGCGGCAGCTCTTACATAAGTCTTTGTGTGGTGTGAACAGAGAACAGGCATGGTTGCCTACAACAGCCAAGTAAACACGGTCAAATTAAAGCCAGACACAGACGATGGTTAACTTGGTAGAACCAAATGAGTAGGCTAGAAATTTACTAGATCAGGAGAAAATCCTTGTCACTTCCACAAATGGCAATCATTGAACAGCCTGAGTGTATACCCAAATTATTTCAGATTAGAAGAATTTATGATCCCTAAAATAGCCAGAACCTAAATCACTCATGGCTTTTCCTTGTTGAGGCACACAGTTTTGAGCCATCACTGTAAATTACAGCTAGTCAATATAATCATCAGACATGCTGGGATTATACCCTGCAATTTATATTCAGTGAAACCAACTGACCAATTCTTGTCCAAATTCTCAAATTTTCTCTAAGTCTTCAAGTGAGTTCCTATTCTCTTTTGAACACTAAATAATTCTTTTATGCAAGTCCTCTATTTCTAGCCATGCACTGACAGAATATTAAGGAGACAAGATGAAATTTTAAAAATGAACTTAGAAATAAGACTGTTGGATCCATGAAACTACTTTTTTAAAAAAAGTCAATCTCATTGTTTTTTTACACCTTCTCTTAAAAGATTCAGAAAAAGTCTGTTACATAAATTATCTACATAAACTTTACAGAACATTAAAAGCTCATGTTTCAGGGTTTTGATCAAATTAAAATATTGTGAGAAATATTTCTAGTCTGCATAATCTAAGAAGAGCTGATGCCGACATACTTTCCAGTAAACTAGCAAGTAAACTAAAAATAAGGAACATATTGAAAATAGTAAGAAAAAAGAAGTCTCATTGCAGCATCTTGCCCCTCACTTTCAAGTTCCTGGAAGCTGTTTGGGAGATTATATAAGCAATGAGGTATGTATTTGTAGCAAGAATGCTTTCAGTAGGAGGTAGATGGGAAGTCAAGAATAGCCTATTATCTAACAGCAAAAAACTAAGTGCAAAAAAATTTTGTTTGCAAACTGCTTAAAATCAGGTTCTTTCATTTTGGAAAGACACAAAGAATAAGAAGCTGAGGAAGACTGTTACAAATATTTTGATGATATCAGATCAAGCCCAGTAGTACTAAGTCTAGCCTTTTCTTACAGTAGCTTTGAAAGAGAGAACATTAATATAATTTTACTAGACTCCTCTGGAAAACCTTAAGGTAGGAACTTTCTCTCCCTTTAATGACAAAAATCATGTTCTGCACATAATGAATGTTTGATAAGTCTTCCTAGTAGTATTTATATTTGTAGTACTTTGAGGCAAATACATGCTCAGAGAGGGTCACACCGCTATAAGAGATAAGGCAATGACCAGACCCATTCTGTAGGGCATCATCAGGCTGTTCTTTGCCCCGAAGCAAGTTGTCATTGCTTACTGCCTTTAATTCCCAGTGAGTAAGATGAATGACAAACCATCACACTGCACCCTCTTCTGCTAAAGAAAACTTTAATTTAGCCAACACCATTTTCAGAATCCTCTTCACCAAAGACAGACTAACACTGCCACTCATGCACTGGATCCCTTCCCTTTAATTGATTACCTCTACTTATTACATAGCACCATCAGTATGAAAGCCATCTATAAAGTGTGTATAGCGATAACAGACATCAGTTGTTATTTTGAATATAATGCAAAACAGAACTGAAGCTGGACTTGCCTTTGGACCTCATTTTTTTGAGGAAAAAAGATTACGACTCTAATTTTTCTTATAATTTCAAGATATATGCCAAGATTTACTGTTAAATACATGGGTTTATTTTTTTAATCGACCATAATCACATATGTTTATGGGTACAATGTAATGTGTTGGTACGTTTACAGTGTGGAATGACTAAGGCTAATTAACTAAAATCCATCGGCTCACATACTTAGTCCTACTTTTGTGACGGGAACTTTAAAATCTCCTTTCGGAGACTTCCAGCAAGATTACGACAGCACCGGCCGGACTGTGAGAGTCTCCGCAGGAGTGAGTGCCCATAAAGACTTATGCTTTCCCCCAGGTGGCTGCCGCTGCAGCCACTGCCGGTCTGCTCCTCAGCGGGTGGCGCCGGCCGCAGGCTGGAAGCCCCTGGGCCCCAAGCACCGCTCTGCAGGCACCGCCAATGCCCGGCCCCACAGAGTTCCAGGCTCCCTCGCTGGCTGCACCGCCCCGCCCGCGGCACCCCATACCATGCCAGCCTGCAGCGTCCGACTGTCTCACACTCTGCCTCCCCTGGCTCAGCCCCCAGCCGCTGCAAGACCGGAGATTGGCTGAAGCCCTGAGTCCCATGGGAGTGGCAGAGACCTGCACTGCCCCACTCAGCTCCACCCGGCCTCCAACTTGGGACCTAAGGTAATCACATCAAACTGGGAGAGACAGAAGCCCCTCCCCATGGTAGAGCGGACACAGGTCAGATCTGATTCGCAAACTTGACAGGCAGCAAGCCGGCTGAGTCCAGATATGATCCACCCTCCTTCCACAGCAGGCCTGGGGCTTCTGACCCTAGCTGTGAGCAACCTTTGCTACCAGCCTGCAATGAGAGCTAGAGATCAGAGCTAAAAGGACGTTGGACTCACAGCAACAGTCTCAGAGAGAGCTTGGTTCCTTGTTTTTATTTTTTGTTTGTTTTG